ACAAGATAAAATAAAAAAATTCCTTCACTCGGCAGTCAAATAACAAAATAATTTACAAAAAAAATCATTTTTACATTCAAATAAACTAACACCGAGTTATAACGCAGGGAGAATAACATCTAAATACATAACAACTAAATAAGATACTATGTTATTCAATTTGTAATATTTTATGAAATGTAGTATTTGAATAAAGTTTGTCCTATAAATTCAACTATCACGAACAAGGGCGTATCGATGAGCTTATTAAGTGTATTATTCTGAATAATATCTAGTTCTTTTCAAAGTCTCTATATTCCAAAATACATTCTCTCTCTCTCTCTCAAGTTATGCAATATATTATCAATTTTTTGTTGCAACATTACGTTCGACAATCGATCGTTATTCCAGGCGATACATTTAGAATTCCCGATTCCATAATGGGATTAACTTTCCTCGCAGCAGGAATGAGCGTCCCGGAGGCTGTGTCGAGTGTTATCGTTGCAAATCAAGGTAATTCTCTTCTTTTCGTGCTTTGACTCGTCGATCAAAATCGCGCTAACGGCAATATCGACCGATTAACACGAATTTTTATTTAAACGAGTCTCTATGGCGAAGTTTTCTTATGATTTTTCCTATTCCTTAATGTGTAAATCGATCAAGAAATAGCGGTCAACGATATACGCTATCATGAAACCGCTTGGCTATGATAACGTGACATTATCGCGATATTATTATCAAATTTGCTGAATCTTGGAATCGCTTTCTTTGTAGTCATTTACAGACTATCTAATGTACTATGTACATATTACACAAGGTATTTCACTTGATATTATTACCTTGATTTAAGTTGTTATCGTATTATTTTTAGTTGGAAATATTACAGTGAAAGACGAATGGTTTTGAAGCTGTCTATATTCTAGTATTAATCTTTTCATAGATGGACAAGTGAAAGATTTGTGAAAGACAACTTTGGTTTTTTAAATGGAATTGTATGAAGGTTTTAAATACGTTGTATCAAGGAATTATTAGTTTAAAAGATATCTCAAATTCAGTTTTGTAAATATCGTGTGAAGATCAAAGAAATGGATAGCAGTGTTCTTTATAAAAAGACATTAATCCATTTACGTAAAAAAAATTATTAGTTAGTTGGGAACAAACAATGTTCATATACTTATGTTACCCTTGTCTTTCGTATGAAAATTAAAATTGAAATATCTTTTAATATATGTGCAGAGAATGTCGAGTCGCATCCAATCAATATGATTCTATTTTAAAAAACCAAAGTTTACTTTCATTGACAAAAAAATTAACAACATTAGAATATACACATGTTGGAACCATTCGTCCTATCATTTTCATTATCACTGCGGATAATGATAACGATATTCAGGGTAGTAATGTCAGATGAGATATCCTGGCAGCCAATTAATATCCATTAATATTACTTCAACTGTTTCTTTTTAATTTATACTCGTGAAGTAATGATATTTCATGATATTTCTTCTTTTCATGTTTTTTTTTTTTTTTCTTTCCACTTGATATTGCTGATTCAAAATATGATTTCAGGACACGGAACCATGGGCATAAGTAACTCCATCGGTTCAAACGTATTCGACGTATTACTTTGTCTTGGATTACCTTGGTTCCTGAAGGCAGCATTTTTCCCAAAAGCTGGTAATCATTATGTAACGATTAACTCACAGGGATTGGTTTACAGTTCCATATCGTTGTTTTCTACTCTCACTTTACTTTACTTGTCTCTTCTAATTGGCAAGTTTAAATTGACTCGAACTGTTGGAATAGCCTGCCTCGTTATGTACGTAATTTTCTTGATATTTGCTTCGATCCTCGAGCTCAATATATTCTTCGTGGTTAATCTGCCAGTATGCGTTGACTGACATTTGATGCGTCTACTTTGTAAGAACTTCACGTTTTTACAAAAGGATACGAAACTTCGAATCCAAGCTCTTCCTCTGTTCCCTTCCGATAGTTCGATACGTACCGTTGAATTGTTAAAACAATGGAATATTCGTTTAACGATGAATAAGCCACTCTTGTCGCAAATGATCCAACATTTAATTGATTTAGTTGATTTGTTATACTTTTTTGAATATGTACATACATTCTACTGTACTATTTTGTGATGCATATATATATTTATGAATTTGTGCAAGAATGTGTGTTGAAATGAATACATGTGAATTTAATGAGTATGATGTATGAATGTCTATATGTGTCTATTGTGATATGTATGTACATCCATATATCATTTTTTGCAAATAGATATTTATATAGCTGTTTCAACAATTTAGCGCAAGTATTTTTCTAGTAAATTTCTGATGTGCCATTTTGTAGTTTGTAGTTTATCAAAGATATAAATGAAATAGAGATGTTTATAGTTCTTTGATACATGTAGTGCAATATATGTCGTAGTAGAGTATATGACCTTTGATATATGTGGTGCATAGTAAAGCAAGTTTAATTGAAAGCATACAAATGAACAAATGTGTCAAAGAGAAAGGAAAACGTAATGTTCTCAGTTCAAACAAATACATTATTTCATCTGCTGTGTGTATATTTTTCCGCTACATTAATCATTGTACGAGAATTGACTTATTAAGAAAATGAAAATATAAACTATTTGTAGATACTATATAAGGGTGTGAACTAGAATGCTTTAAAGTTGGCCACAATTGGTAATTATAATGTTGTGAGTAGTTTTTCCACTTTGAGTGCCGTAACTTTCAACTTTTTTTACTATAGTCATACCATCGACTACAGAACCAAAAACTACATGCCTATTATCCAACCAACTGGTTTTTACAGTAGTTAGAAAAAACTGCGAACCATTGCTACTTGGTCCATTATTTGCCATGGACAATATGCCAGGTCCAGTGTGTTTCAATTCAAAATTCTCATCTTCAAATTTCTCTCCATAAATAGATTTTCCTCCTGTACCATTGTGATTGGTGAAATCACCACCCTGGCACATAAATTTAGGAATTATTCTGTGAAAAGTACTTCCCTTATATCCGTAACCTTTCTCTCCTGTACAAAGTGCACGAAAATTTTCCGCTGTTTTTGGGACTATATCTGCCCGTAATTCCATCACGATACGACCTAATGGTTTATCCTCAGCTGCTACGTCGAAATATACTCGTGGCAAACCCATGGCAGATACTTGCAAAGTATGCTTTTACTCTTTCACTTTTACCTTTTTCTCAGCAAATGACGTATAATAGAAAATAATAATTATTATCTTATTTGTTATATTACTTTGTGATTCAATTTATACTATCAAATTAAACGAAATCGTTCAACAAAAATAACTAGGTTAGCTTTCTTTCCGTTTAAAATCATATATAAACAAATTGCGATCAACACGCCATCTTTGTGATTACAATTACAGACTAAACACGAATCACTCGTATTTATGATATGTATTACGAGATTATATTTATCGTTTTACGTATTTACGCTTTATGCTTTAATAAATATTACAAATATGATAAGAAATAAAAGATAAAAAATAAAAGAGCAAAGAAAAACAGTTTCCCTATTTTTCTATCTACGATTCTGTTCTATACGTATGTTACTCGAATTACGTTTTAAGGCTCATCGAATTTGTGACCTGAATTTTGTTTTGAATACACGACACTTTCGAATTAATAATAAACAATTTATATTACTAATCAATCCACATTAATTATAAAGTATATATTGAGCAAATTTATATAACTAAATTTAGTTATTCCGCCTAAATTGATTCGATACATTCGGTGGATTATAAATGCTGTAAATACGTCAGTGTCTAAGTACATGATACGCTTGTAAACGTAATGTACATGTAATGTACAATATGCATACATTTTATATACTCATATCTTTTTAAAATGACAAATCTTTTAAAATAACAGTTGCCGCGCTTTAAAACTTGGATTTTTAGTTCTATTCGTTGAAAATAAATTGTGACATGTTGTAAGAAAAAGATCACAAATTCCTGTAGATAGAATTTAAATCGTATCTTTTTTATGCATATATACTATATATGTATCTTCTATATATTACAATATAACTTATTTGATAAATACAAGTCATATTTGATAATATGACTTATTTGAGGAATATAGATAAAGTTAAATATAAAGATTTTTATACCACATCTTTTATATTATGATTTCTGCAGAACAAACTATCGTGAACTTGTAAAATGATTTTTAACGACATGATTCTCTCTGTAACTTGTTCGTTATTATTAATTCGGTGTTGTAAGAAATTATAGTGCAACAGGAGCTCGAGGGTAACACGAAGTAGCGTAAAATATCATTATAGATGGCGCTTGCATGCTGTATTCTCAAATTATCGTGTCGTTGGCTTTCTATATTCGTTTGAAAAATTTGTGACAGTAAAGTGTGTTGTCGACGCCCAGTTACTCGTGAGTGTTTCGGTTAAATTTTGTGTATTTCTTTCTTTGATGCTATTCGCATTTTGCTATGGGTTAAATCGTGAAAAATATCATTCGATACACTTGAGCATATAGTCGAATGATAATATTCTAGATTAGAAGCCGACAGATTTGACAAAATACCAAAAATGGCGATCTGAAAAAACAATTATTTCGTAGCAGTTCTACGTATAATTGGATCGTCTGTTGAAAAATTGGCGAACGTACACATTTCCGTTTTTACTTTGCAAATATTTGTTTTTTACTTTAAATAAATACCTTCGAACGTAACGTTTGGAACACACGAAATATTTGTCCTTTTACTTGGCAAAGTTTAGGAATAGGACGTTAGGGGACATAATTGGACGTGACGGGATGTAATGAAACGTGACGAAAATTGACGGAATTCGGTAGGACTAGACTAGACAGTAGGACCAGACATTATATACTCAAATGAGATCGAAACTTTACATTACTTTGCGACAAACAATTTCGTGTAAGAAAACTTGCACGTGAGAGTAGAAATTGTCATTAATAACACGTTACCACTTTCCTTTTTTACACAGACAGAGAGACAAATCAGAAAACGAGGAAAAATGCAGACAATTAAATGCGTTGTGGTCGGGGATGGTGCAGTGGGTAAAACTTGTCTGTTGATTTCATACACTACAAATAAGTTTCCATCCGAGTATGTACCAACAGTATTTGACAATTACGCTGTGACTGTTATGATCGGTGGTGAACCATATACCTTAGGATTGTTCGATACAGCAGGTATTTATTTAATTATATTACATAGTTTGCTTTCCTTCGATTTGTTTTAAAAGCATGACAATTTATTGCTGATTAATCATTGATTTAAAGGTCAGGAGGATTACGACCGACTACGTCCATTAAGTTATCCTCAAACTGACGTGTTCCTTGTTTGTTTCTCGGTCGTGTCACCATCATCCTTCGAAAATGTTAAAGAAAAGGTATGTAAGCGTAAATTTAATACTTAACGACATGATTAATTAATCATCTAGAGATTCCTAAACTCGGAAATTGTGCAGTGGGTTCCAGAAATAACTCATCATTGTCAAAAGACTCCATTCTTATTGGTGGGTACTCAGATTGATTTGCGAGATGACGCGGCAACTATAGAGAAACTTGCAAAAAACAAACAAAAGCCTATATCAGCCGAACAAGGTGAAAAACTTGCCAAAGAACTGAAAGCAGTCAAGTATGTGGAATGCAGTGCTCTTACACAGGTGTGATTCTGCTCACTCTTTGCATGGTGTATAATGTTTCGTCAATTGTTAACATATGCCGTTTCCTCGGATTTTCAGAAAGGTTTGAAAAACGTGTTCGACGAAGCGATCTTAGCAGCGTTAGAGCCTCCAGAGCCAGTTAGAAGAAGACGATGTATCGTTTTGTAGAGAGCAACTAACGTGGTTTTTAAAGTCTATTAGCGCTGTTCGGACGATGATTGCTGTATGAGCTTGTCATACGGTGCATGCGAAAATACTTTTCGACTAACGATAGTTCGTCTGTTTATCGGTACGATCTATCTTTCGTTTTTCGATTCATTCGATACATACTCGATTCGAAGGGGGGAGGGGGAGGAAAAAACAAAAATTCATCCAGAAAAGATGAAGACAAGCATTTTATGTATAAGAGGTACGCATGTATATTAATTATGTGTGTACATGTGCATGTATATGTGTATGTTCGCATACATTTATATGTGCACACAAGCGCGCGCGCACACACACATATACACAAACACATACAGAAAGACACTCCTACATTTATCCTTTCGTCGACTGGTTCATCGAAGAAAGATAATTGACAGTTGGTTTAGTTTCTACTTGAATCAGCTCGAGGCAGCGGGCAAATATCAATCGGTTCTTGGCAATCGCGTGGAAGGAACAATGTAATTATTGACAACCGTAAACATCTACACGAATTTCGTATCAAGAATACCTGTAAAACATTCTTCTATTTAATATGTAAGACGTTTTTATTGATAAATTAGTAGTGTGAATTTTTTAATAAATCAGTTTAAAAAAAAAAAAAAAAAGAATTAAGATTGAAACACACGAGTATATCTCTCACAGCTTTTCTTGTTTCTCGTTAGATTATATTTTCACGTTTCTTTTGAACTGTTTCGTTCACTTGACACGCAACACTTGACAGTAGTGTTGACTCTCTCCCGCCGTTCCCTAATTTTTCTCGGTACAAGAACAAAGTTCGAAATAACAACGCGTTCGATATGTGGTTAAAGCTTTATTTACATACATTTTTTTCACGATGATATATCATGGAATAATTAAGTAAACTATATTACATGTAAAACTTGTTAACTAAGCTTGACCATTTACCATAAAAGTTTGGTATCTAACTTTGGGTTAAAACGCATTACATTCGAATTCGAATGTCAGCCTATTTTCTATTCTACTGTGTTGATACTTAGTCTCTATTAGGTCGCTATGATGTTGACTGCGTTACGCTCTCCATACATGTACCTAGATACGCACGAGGAAATCTCTTGTCGACAAAAAAAAGTCCGATCGCACGATCTTTGTTTGATGAAGTAAGATTGATATTTCTTCATTGTTTCGCCTATTCGTTTACCATCGAAAGTTCAATGCGTTACGTTCACGGAAAGAGTATATCACAAAAGGTGCGGCATGCCTATTAGTCGTGTGTGTAGTCGTATGTAACGTACTTATGTTTGTCATTCTGCTGTAGTTGACTCGAGTTTCAGAAAATGAGAGAAAGAGAGCAAAATGGTACGAAATGGTTTCTCTATGATTAATCACTTTTGGTCTTT